CCAGGTTTCAAAGCACAATATGCAATTCACAGTACCTATCACAGCTAATCCCATGTGTGAATTGATGCATTTCTCTCTCCAAATTGACAGTGAAACACTTCAAGGGCAGGAGCCATATTCCCAAGCAGCTAGTATATTTTAGGGCACTTGCTAGGTTCTCAAAGTTTCTTGATGTTACTGAAATATCCAGGAGACAGGAGAGTCAGTTTAGTCATGAACTCCAAACAGCCATATGACTGAGGTTCTCACAATTTACCTGGGCACTTAATTTCTGTGTGGACTGCATCAGTGTTTACCATCTCAAATTTTCAACCATTCCTTCATTCAAAAATATATAAATGCCTAGTATATGCCAAGAACTGTGCTAGAAATTATGTCTTTCTGAGAATCTTGCCAGAATATATAACACTTGTGTATGTGACTTTAGCGACACCCGAGATTTCACTGCTGAGGGAAACTTGCAGGAATAAAGTAGCATCCACATTTTATAAACTTTTTAAAGTTTTGAAAAAAAATATCAACTTTATTTTATCGAGACACAATTCATAGTCCATGCAATTCAGTCTTTTATCATGTGCAATTCAGTGGTTTTTAGCATACAGGTATTCACAGAGTTGTGCAACTATCACCATTAATTGCAGGATATTCTCATCACCCTAAAAAGAAACCCTGTACCGATTACCAGTCGCTCTTCAATCCCCCCACTCCTCACCCTCTAGCAACCAATAACCTACCTTCTGTCTCCATGGATTTGCCTATTGTGGACACATCATGTAAATGAGATCATACAATATGTGATCTTTGGTGTCTGGCTTCTTTCACTTGGTGTGTTTTTAAGTTTCATCCATGTTGTAACATGTATCACTGCTTCATCCCTTTTTATGGCTGAATAGCATCCTGTTGAATGGATATGCCACATTTCGCTCACCTGTTCATCCATTGATAGACAGTTGGCTTGTTTCCATTCCTTGGCTATTATGAATAATGTTGCTATGAGCATTCGTGTACAAGTTTTTGTTTTTTTTTTTGTGGACATATGTTTTCATTTCTCTTGGGTATATATTTTGAAGTGAAATTTCTGGGTCATATGGTAACTATGTGTTAAAGTTTTTGAGGAACTGCCAAATTGTTTTCCAAAGCATTTGTATCATTTTACATTTCCATCAGCAATGCATCAGGGTTTAAAAGTTTAGGTTCTAACTCACTGTATACTCCAACAAAGATAAGCCATATGTTTATTAATTTGGTATTTACCCTTCAAATCTCATTATCCCAATAACCATCTCGCATTTTCTACAGCAAGGACACAAAATACCTTCTCTTCACTGTGACATTAAGTGAGATGATACTCAAGTGGCTTTCTATTTTATTTATTCCAGCCAAGGAGAGATGACAGAAGCAATTACATACTTGAAAAAAGTTGTGAGCATTACAAAAGACAATTTTCAAAGCCTAGATATTGTGAGATCAAGTACAATGCTTGGGGACATATACAATAAAAAAGTGAGTATATATGTTTCTTGTTTAGAAAGAAATTTGCAGAGTTTTAAAAGTCTATTCTTGTGTGATCCTTACCTTCCCACAGTATGTTCTGCAGAATGGCCTGGGGACTGCAGGACGTAATTAATGCACAAGACAAGGACTGGGAAAAGAAATGCCTCTTTCTTCCTTCCTTCTAGTACCTTAGTGCCATCTGGGGCACAGTCTCCAGAAGCTGCTAACCCTGCTGGGAAAAGAAATGCCTCTTCCTTCCTTCTAGTACCTTAGTGCCATCTGGGGCACAGTCTCCAGAAGCTGCTAACCCTGAGTCATATATTCACAGCCAATGAGGATTCTAAGTGATGTTGGATTTAAGGAGCAATTAAAATATTTAAATTCAAAAGAACTTTGCTATAACAGCCGGCTATCTGCTTACACTGGCATTCATCTCTCTCACTGCAAATTCTTGTTTTATTAATCCAGCTGTGAAGACTCGCACTAGCTCCCTCAGGAGAAGACAGGACAATCTCGAAGACTAATTATGTAGAAAATTTAGAATGGAATTTTAGCAACAGATTAGTTATGTGAAAGAGGACGGAAAGAAGAGAAAAAAGTTTAAAATAAAATTGTCTCATCCAAGAAGTCATTATTAGTAAAATGTACTGGTCATCATGGATTTCTGACTTATTTTCTCCTGATTTTATCTTTTACTACCCAGATTTTCCTTTAGAAACGGTATGAAAGAGGCTTGTTTCTCTAGTTATATTTGCTATTTTGATCATGAATAAGATACATCATTCTTTTGAGGATAATTATGTGCTCAAACTGTATTTATACACTTTATCTTAATCTCTTTGGGAGGCCCTGTATGTAGTGATTAAAAGCACTAACTCTGAAACCAGACTGCTTGGGTTAAAAGCCCAGCTCTTTCACTTACAGGATCTGTGACCTCATAAGGTTGTTGTGAGTATTGCATTAATCTATGTAAAGCACTCAGAACAGTGCTGCATAGCAAGAGAAGTCAGTGCCGTCTACATAGGCGTTAGCTGTGATTATTCTCTACACCCTGAGTGGCATCAAACAATTCCCCTTCTCCAGTTCTTCAGAGAGTTTCACTTACCCCAGGTCAACAAGATTCTAGGTGGTGGTGGTATTCAAACGCATACTTTTAACCACTAAAGTATCCTATTATTTGCCATAAAATTGACTTTATTTTGGAATGACTTAGGCTTTCTTTAAGGAAATAGAGTTTGAAATTAATTTCAATGAACAAAACTAATATTTCTTTAGTTTCTGCTAGGGGAAAAGTTCTTTCAAACAAGGTATCTCGTTTCTTGTCTCTTACACGCCTCTCTTGTTCTCCCTGGATCATTTACCTCCCCTCTCTCCTGTGACTTCAAATCTTAAAGCCCCCTTTTCTCTAGACTCGTCCCTGCCCCCCATGCCCACCTTGCTCCCTGCTCTCCTGCCTGCTCCTTTGTGGCCTCTCACCCTTGCTGTCTCACCCTCGGGCCACCATCCTCTACCTCCCCCCCGCGTCTCCCTCGCTTGGTTTCCTGTCTCTCTTCGTGCCCCGACCCGTCTGTTGCCCAGATGCTCTCAAACTTCCTTCCCTGCGGTGGGCTTCTGCTGCCGCCTGCCCCCACCCATGTCTGTGCTGCTGCTGCCCTTTGCCTCGATGACTCCTCTGTCTTGATTTTGCATTTGATTTTGTTTGCTCTTCAGGATACAGTGGTGAAAAAAGGTAAGGCTCACACCCTTACGAGGTTACAGCCTCCTGGGGGAGCTTATCCTATAGTAGCAGAATGGACATTCCTTATAAAAAGGTGTAGTCTCACTTTTTAAAAGGATTGTTTTTCAAAACAAGTGTAAAAAGCACAGGTTATTTTACCCCACCACCGAACAACACCCCAAATTTAGCCCATTAGTATAACATGAACATCCACTATCAGTCTATATTTTCCTAATTACAGAAAGTATAAGGAAAATAAGACAATAAACTTCTCTGAAGTGTAATATTTTTATACCTAAATATTCTTGACAGTATGTTTTCCTGTTTTTCTCATAGTTTTCAGGTTTATGGTATTTTCCTGTTATTATTATTGTTTAATTTGGCTTCAATGTAAGCTTAATGAGAGCAGGAGCCATATCTGCCTTATTATTTTATTCTGTGCATAGAAGAGAACCCACACAGAGTTGGTGAGCAGAAATATGTCAGTTCATCAAACCAATCAATGCATTTGTAACCAATTTCAAGCCATTTGAAAGTGTGTTCTCTCCCTTTTGAAATTCCAAACTTCTATTTCATTTTGTACAACATTTTAGCATGTCGAAAAGTTGTCCTGAATCTTTAATGCAAATTTTATGTTGCTGCTGTTCTTCAATCTACCTGTTAGGTCCTCTACAGACTGGCTTCATGTTACTCATACTATGTATTATACCTGTATTCTTAACATGAATTTCCAAGATATAATATTACCATAAGGCCAAATTTATAATACAAAATTGTATTTGGAAAAATTTTGGAATTGCCATTTTCTATAATTATTCTAGTGTTGTTATAATTAAATTCAGTACATCTTAAAAATATTCTTTATCCAGGTTTACCTTTTACTATATAATAACGGAAGATGGGCCACTTCTTCCACCCTCCAGATGTGATCTTTTGATGGACTGTTAATCAAAAAAAATATAATTAATGTAAAGTGGTCAAATTAGAATGTTTTAGGGGAAATAGACTATGGAATTTCTCACTCTTTAATAAGGTCAGAGAATAATCATAGTTTAAACAATTGTTGTTCCAACATGAAAATAGTAGAAAAAATGGGGAGGAAATGGTTTATCCTTAGTACTGAGAAAATGTCCATTTATTTTGAGCTTGTTCATTGGATAGAGTGACATTTTAGACACTAAGAATAATCTGGTAAGAATCAGAATAATGCATAAAAATTCTGTGTTATAACGTAATAATTTGAGTTTTGTTTGAAGGTCTATGATGTCATCGAGATCCTGTCCCAGAATTGTCCACTAAATGCTTATCAGGGATATTTATAACATTAAATGAATTTGTCCTTTTCCCATAGGATGCATTTATGAAGTGCATAAATTTACTGCATATTCTCAAACTCAAATTAAAGACTGCCATGACTAATTACTGGAATCTTCTGAATTTTATAAAAGAATAGGGATTGTCTAATAGCAGAAATTAACTGTGGAAATTTGTAAAGAACCTTTGGAAAACAGATTGAATTTTGATATTAAACTCTTTTAGAATTAAAAATCTGGGGCCGGCCCGGTGGTGCACTGGATAGTGCGCCGCTTGGGAAGCGCGGCGGCGCTCCCGCCCGAGGGTTCAGATCCCACATACAGACCGGTTCCTGCTCACTGGCTGAGCGAGGTGCGGGAGCAACACCGAGGGTTGCAATCCCGTTGCCGGTCCCCGGTCCGGTACGGGGGCAACACTGAGGATTGCGATCCGTTGCCAGACATGGAAAAAAGACAAAAAAAAAAAATTAAAAATCTGGAAATACAATGCACATTGGTGAAATCTCATTCTAGAATGGTATGTATAAAAATGCTTGCATCTGAGAAGAATTAATCTCGTATTTTCTTAGTAGTGTTTTCAACTAGAGAAATGTAGGTTGAAACCAGTTTATGGCAGTTGTGTGCATATGTCTAAGATGTGTGTATGTGTTTAAAGATAGAACATTAAGTAAAATCTGAAGGAAAAATAATTACCTGATTATAATGCTCTTATCTTAGAGGGGAAAAAAGCACTTGTTAAATAAGATCTAAGCAAAGTTTTAGGCATATCACTACTTCTACTAATAGCAAGCTCATCAGCTTGACTGTAAACACCATTCACTGCTGATCCCCAGTGCCTGGCATGGGGCCTGGCACATAGTGGTTGCCTAATGAATGGATGGATGAATGAATGAGTCAGTTTTAAAATAGTAATATGCAAAAATAATTCTGGGAATTCAATTTATCTATGGTCCCTAATTTTCCTAATTAAGACTCTCACCTAAAACAATAAGTAGTCTAAATCTCAGAAGTTTAACCAGAATGAAAATTAGATATTTTTTCTTCTCTGTTCCTAAACAAAAATGGTAATATTTGGCTTTAATATATATTCTTATGTATTTTATCTTGTCTTTGGTATCTACCAAGACCATCTATTATTTTAACCAGTTTTATTTCTATTGTCTTCAGTATCAGTATTGTTTCTCAATCATAGTTTACTTACTTGGTATACAAATATCTTTGATACAGTTTTATTTTTTCCTAATTATGTAATAATTTTCTCATATAAATTCTACGTTTTATACTTTGAAATAAGAGAAAGAATTGTTCACCTCAACAAACAAAAATTATTATTGACATAATATAGAGGGACTCTGTTTAAATTAACAAATTTAGGTAGAATGAATCGTTTGAATAAGCAGTTCACCTAAACTGTCCTTGTGGGCATATAACATACAATATTATAGGTGCTATGTGTGTAAGTAACATAACTGTCACATAAGTCCTCTTTCTCCCCGTCCTTACCTTGCTAGCAACTTCTTTCTTCCATCAGTTTGACTATTCTCTGAGCTTCATGATTACGCAGTGGATTGTGGAATTGAAGATGCATTGTACTTGTACTTATGTGTGGTATAAAGCTATTTATATGGTGGTTTTGTGTCCATTTCCTTCAGAAAATGTTGTGAGACAATGACTTGAAAACTCATAGTACAACATTCTCTCTTGTAAGGGCTTCTTTTCAAAAGCACGCACATGCATGTTTTTATTTGTGTGTATCGGGGGTGGGGAGGGTGAGCGGAGGGGAGGGGATGATGGAGCCCAAAGTCAGTGAAGAAAAGAAATTTTGTTCCTAGAACCTACAAATATAGCTCAACCCTAGAAATAATATCCTCCTATGAAGAAGAGTTTTTAATAAGGATTTTTAGCAGATTTGGGGATGGTAGAAGATAGTCTCTTCTCTGAGTCTCAATTTCATTATCTGTAAAATAAGAATAATACTTTCCTCAAAGGGTGACTTGTGAAGGTGAATGACATAATATACATGAAGTATTTAGCACTGGCCCTGATGCTTCATAAGAACTAGGTAGACACTATTTATTTTTGGACAATAGAGTTTAGCAGAGGCGAAGATGACAAAAAATCAACTTGAATTTTTGCAACTTGAAATGTTGCAGAGGACTTAAGAAAGAGATAGATATCTAAACAATCATTTGATTTGTACTAGTGCTATCAAGATCATATTTTTTTCTTAGAGAACTTGGATACCTCGATATCCTCAGTCAAGAAGGGCATGTGTACATGGGAAAACGAAAGCAATAACTGAATCAAAGGACAGATACATTTATTTTCACTGGCCATTGATTAAATAGGTTGGCTGAAAATCACCTGTTGCTGTGACTAAAAACAAGATAGCTAAAAAATATTTAATTAGGTAAATCCAATGCTACAAGTAATAAAATGCTATTCAAATCAATGTGAATTGTTTGATTCTTCCCCAAACTTCTTTTTTTTTTTTTCCCCTTTTTGTCTTTTTTCGTGACCGGAAACGGATCGCAACCCTCAGTGTC